TAACATCAGATTATAACCATAGGCCCTATCAAATAAAAATGTTTTAAGCCTATTCTTAAAAGTAGACAAAGTGTCTGCCTCACGGACTAAAGCTGGGAGCTGGTTCCGCAGGAGAGGAGCCTGATAACTAAAAGATCTACCTCCCATCCTAATTTTAGATATTCTGGGAACCACCAGTAGACCTGCAGTCTGAGAGCAAAGTGCTCGGTTAGGAGCATATGGAACAATCAGATCACTGATGTATGATGGAGCTTGATTATTAAGAGCTTTATATGTGAGAAGAAGGATCTTAAAATCTATTCTGAATTTAACAGGTAGCCAATGTAGGGAAGCTAAGACAGGAGAGATATGATTGCTCTTTTTAATTCTCATCAGAACTTTAGCTGCAGCATTTTGGACAAGCTGAAGCCTTTTAACTACATTCTGTGGACTTCCTGAGAGTAATGAATTACAGTAATCCAGTCTTGATGTAATAAATGCATGAACTAGTTTTTCAGCATCACTCCTGGAAAGTATGCTTCTAATCTTAGCAATATTCTGAAGGTGGAAAAAGGAAATCCTACAAACTTGTGAAACCTGGGATTTGAATGACATGTCCTGGTCAAAGATAACACCAAGGTTCCTTACTTTGTTCTCGGAGATTAATGTAATGCCATTAAGGTCAGGCGATTGGCTAAGCAATTTCCTTTTCTGGATTTCTGGTCCAAAGATGAGAACTTCCGTCTTGTCTTGATTTAAAAGCAAAAAGTTTAGAGTCATCCAATTTTTTATGTCCTCAAGACAAGCCTGTAATCTACCCAACCGATTAGGTTCATCAGGGTTAATGGATAAATATAACTGAGTATCGTCAGCATAACAGTGGAAGTTTATCCCATGCTGTCTAATGATTTTACCAATTGGGAGCATATATATAGTAAAAAGAATTGGTCCAAGCAAGTAACCCTGGAGTATGAAGACGATTTGTCATGTACATTTACAAAATGAAATCTGTCAGACAAGAAGGATTTAAACCAGCCTAACGCTGTTCCTTTGATCCCTACAACATGTTCAAGTCTTTCTAAAAGAACATAGTGATCAAATGTGTCAAAGGCAGCACTGAGATCTAACCAGACTAGAACAGACACAAGATTCTTATCTGAGGCCATGAGAATATCATTTGTAACTCTCACTAATGCAGTTTCAGTGCTGTGATACTCTCTAAAACCAGACTGAAATTCCTCAAACAGAGCATTAGTGTTTAAATGCTCACATACTTGGATAGCCACTATTTTCTCCAGGACTTTGGATAAAAATGGAAGGTTAGATATTGGTCTATAATTCATTGGGTCATCTGGATCCAGAGAAGGCTTCTTAAGTGAAGGTTTGATTACAACATCCTTAAAATCTTGTGGTACATACCCATTTACTAAGGATAGATTGATTATATTTAGAAGGGGGCATTAACCAAAGGAAATGCATCTTTAAATAATTTGGTTGGGATTGGATCCAAAATGCAAGTTGAAGGTTTAGATGAAGCTAATATTTTTGATAACTCTGAAAGCTCAACTGGATCAAAACGGTTCAAGCACAGATGAGGTTCTACAGTCACCTCTGATGCTGCCTCACTTACTGAGGAAGAAGAAATCGCATTAAGGAGGATGCTAAAGATTTTGTTTCTAATAGAATTAATTTTACTTGTAAAAAATCCCATAAAGTCATTGCTGCTGAGGGCTAAGGGAATAGATGGCTCAGAGCTATGATTCTGTGTAAGTTTAGCAACTGTACTGAAAATAAATTTAGGATTATGCTTATTCTCCTCAATTAGTGCTGAGAAATAAGCAGTTCTAGTTTGTCGAAGCTCATTTTTATAAAGCACAAGACTATTTTTCCAGGATAGGTAGGCCTCCTCATGGAGCGTAGAGCGCCATGTTCTCTCCAATTTCCTAGAGTTTTGTTTTAAGGCTCGTAAATGAGAATTAAACCAGGGAGCCAACTTCCTGTCCCTAATTATCTTCTTTTTAAAAGGGGCAACATCATCTAATGCCACACGTAAAGAGGAATTAACATGATGAACTAAGGCATCAATTTGTGAGGGGCTAGAACTGAAAATATTGCCCTCTGCTATGTTCCTCTGAGATGCTGAGGACAGTAAAGATGGAACAGTTGATTTAAAAGATGCAACTGCGTTGTCAGATAGAGACCGACTATAGTGAAATTTACTTTCATGTCTCAAGAACTCAGTTGTAAAAAACTCAAAGGTTATCAGAAAGTGGTGCGAGAGGACTGGATTATGTGGAAAGATCGTTATTTCCGCACACTCTATGCCATAAGTCAGCACAAGGTCCAATGTATGATGGCAGGAGTGGGTGGAGCTATGTATTCTTTGAGTAAAACCAATTGAGTCTAAGATATTACTAAAGGCTACATTGAGGCAATCATTTTCAATGTCCACATGAATATTAAAATCCCCCACTACAATGACCTTATCAGTATTTAGCACCAAATCAGATAAAAAATCAGAGATCTGATCCAAAAACTCAGAGTAAGGGCCTGGTGGATGATATAAAACTACAAACAAGAGTGGTTTTGCAGTTTTGCAATCTGGATTAGGAAAACTAAGAATAAGATGTTCAAACGAACTGTAACTATTAATCTGTAAGGGACTGATTAATAAGTCCGAATGAAAAATGGTTGCTACTCCTCCTCCTCGCCCTGTACTTCGAGCAATATGATGATTTAAATAATTTGAAGGAGTCGACTCATTTAAGCTAACATAGTCCTCTTGCTGCAGCCAGGATTCTGTGAGAGAGAGCAAAGAGATCTGATTATCACAAATCAAGTCATTAACAAACAAAGTCTTAGAAAAAATGGATCTAATGTTCAACAACCCACATTTAATTTTTCTAGTTTTCTGCTCAGTTGAATTTGTTCTAATATTTATGAGATTTCCATGATTAGCTTTATTAAGCCTGATATTTAATCTGTGTGATTTTGGCCGTGGGCAGGCCACTGTCTCTATGGGGTAGTGGGTGGGTAACAGTACAGAAGCTGCAGAGGGGTGGATTAAACTACGACTCTGCTTCCTGGTCTGGACCCTGGGTTGTCATGAAGGACTAATAAAACTGGCCATGTTCCTAGAAAGAAGAGCTGCACCATCCAAAGAGGGATGGATGCCGTCTCTCTGCATCTGACCAGGTTTTCCCCAAAAAGTTTTCCAATTATCAATGTAGCCCACGTTGTTTTCAGGACACCACCTAGACAGCCAGCGGTTGAAGGACAGCATGCGGCTAAACATGTCGTCACTGGTCCGATCAGGCAGGGGGCCAGAGAAAATTACGGAGTCCGACATTGTTTTGGCAAACTTACACACCGAAGCAACATTAATTTTAGTGACCTCTGATTGGCGTAACCGGGTGTCGTTACCGCCAGCGTGAATAACAATCTTACTGTATTTACGCTTATCCTTAGCCAGCAGTTTCAGATAAGATTTAATGTTGCCCACTCTGGTCCCAGGTAAACATTTAACTATGGTTGCTGGAGTCTCTAATGCCACGTTTCTGACTATGGAGCTGCCAATGATCAGAGTCGGCTTGTCAGTGGGTGCGTCACTGAGCGGGGAAATCTATTAGAAATGTGGACGGGTTGGTGGTGGCCCACGGGCTGGGTTCTATGCTTCCTGTGTACCGTCACCCAGCCGGCCTGAGGTCCCGGCTGCTCGGGTTCCACTGGAGGGTCGCTACGGGGTGGTTCTGAGCTAGTTAGCCCCGCGCTAAGTAGCTACGGCTGTTTACGGGTTTTTCAACAGCGCGGAGCCGGGACTCCAATTCCGACACCCTCGCCTCCAAAGCTAGAAAAATGCTACTTTTATTACACGTACCATTATCACCAAAGGAGGCAGAGGAGTAACTAAACATCTGACACAGAGAGCAAGAGATAGGAGACGGAGAAGCAGAGACAGAAGTAGCCATAGCCGTGCTGAGGCTAAGCTAACTGGACGAGCAAACTGTTCAATACCAAATAAACTGCGTGCAAACTCAAATGGTTCCCTAAAAACTAGGTGGAACAACAGAAAATGTGTGTTTTAGCGTGCTTTTGTGCTACAATAACTCAGAGATATCCAAGTATAGAGAAATTAAATCAGCTTTAGCGAGCCCCAAACACCAAACAGCTACACGGAGTGCAACACTGAAAACAGGAAACAGGACACGCCTTACCGCCAGGTGCAGCCAATCAGCAATCCTGAAGCAGCAGCCACAGTTCAACCCGCAGGGGGTAGCACTAAGACATTTTTAGACCTAGATTATAGATTTATTCAAGTTTACACAAACATGTCAAAAAAATGCACAGAAACAGGAAGATTGCATTTGTAAAGACCCAATTATACAGTTTATGAACAAAAATAAGTTATTTTGGGGTTTAGTTGCTCTTTAACATTTTTCTTCACAACTGCCTCTTTAAAGCCTAACAAACTGGGTCAGTTGGACTCTAACGTGCTATTCCATATTACTGACGGTATTTTAGTTAATGTTCCAAGTTCAATTTCCATGGAAATGACCTAAATAGTGTTATCTGTGTCTCCCAATAAAACGGTTACTCCAATAGATATGTAAGAAACATGCAAATAAAATCTTGAAATTTGTATTTACCTTTTTAAATATCCATTTAAGCACAAGTAACACCTTCTGTTGATTGTGTTTATCCTTTTTTCAGTAAGCTCATCACCACCTCCAAGCTCCCATAATACAGGATAGAATGAATATGTAAATAATTTACACATCAAGACGAGTTTTCAGCAGCAACAAGTGAGACTCTGAATTAAAGACCCATCAAATCAAACCTTGGAGCAGATCTGCATTCTGAGCGTCTGATTTAACAGATGCATGAGAAGTTTATTCAATCAGAAGAAAACTGTCTGTTCTTTTCTGTTCAGCCCAGGGAACCTAGGACCCTGGGTGCACAAATAGTCCCCCTGATACTGTCAGCACTTCTCTGCAGTGAAAACAGAGGAAATCGAGGACAAAGTTCAGGAGGCGTAATTGGGAGCAAGCTTCCTCCAGTCAAGGCGCTGAAATCTGAACCCTTCAGTACTCCCGCACCAGAAGGACTGAAACATTCCTGCTCACAATGATCGCATACATTCTCTTTACCGTTTTGGCAGTTTTGCCAGTTTTGCTTTTCTGGAAAAACCCATATATTATGAGCGATTTAAAATATGCAATGACTGTACTTCACATAGGAATTAAATATAGCAAAATTACTAGAAAGTTTTATAGTATCTTGGACTGTTTCATGGAAAAAGTGTCGGAACATCCGCAGAAGACGTTTCTGGTGTTTGAGGGAAGCTCCTACACGTACAGCCAGGCTGACAAAGAAAGCAACAAGGTGGCCAGAGCTTTGTTGACACATGCCAACCTGAAGGAAGGGGACACAGTGGCTCTCTTCCTGGGCAACGAGCCTTACTATGTGTGGACCTGGCTCGGACTGGCCAAACTAGGCTGTGTATCATCGCTTCTCAACTACAACATCAGATCTAAATCCCTGATTCACTGCTTCTCCTGCTGCGAAGCCAAGGTCGTCATCACTAGTGCAGGTAAGATGGAAAAGTCAAGCACTACCAGAACAGGAGCTTCCTTTTCAATTTTCAAGAAACTCCTGAAGACCCTGCTCTTCAGAGAGCATCTTCTTAACTGTCCACTCCTTGTTCCATACTCTCCATGACTGATGTCAAGTTGTTGTTGTTATTGTTGTTGTTAGCCTCAAGGGCAATATGCCAATTATCGCTTGTAAGTCGCTTTGGACAAAAGCGTCTGCTAAATACATAAACATAAACATAAACAACATCACAGTATCAGTGTATCTGAAAGACTTATGGTAAATATAAATCATTCAGTTCATCTAATGGACTCTTGCTGAAGTTGCTGCCTAAATGTTAAAGCACACAGACGTTGCTGTGATGAGAGAAAATAAAAAGAGGTGAGGAAATTGTGGATTTGGCAGAACAAATGTAATCCTCACAAACTTATGCTGCCTCAGCGGTTACCACGGTGACCCAAATGAGTCACTAGCAGCAGCTTTAATATTTGATGTTAGCTCTCTGTACTCATCTTTTGCAAATCAAATGTTGGCGTGTTGCTAAGATCATTGGAAAGTGAGGCAGTAGCTGCATTTGCAGCATTTAAAGTTATTTCTGAAAATCTCTATTTTATTAATGTAATTTTAGTGGTTTTGTCTGATGGCTCTTTGCTTTTAATCCAGTGACACAAACACATGAGTCTTTGCAGGAATGAGACATATTAATGGATCTTTTTCCCAATAGTCTTGTAGAGAAGCTGAGGTTTGTTGTATCTATATCCACTTCTTTAGCAAACCATCATTTTCCTCTTCTATTGTCACTGCAGAATCCTCCAAAAAGGTTTCGCACACTCATATTTGCTTTACTTGTCTAGAGCTGTGTGGAGCGATAGAGGAGGTGTTGCCCACCCTGAGGGAACAAGGCATTCGTGTGTTTGTGCTCAGCGAGAAAAGCGATGTGGAGGGCATCGAAAGCCTCTCTGATAAGATTCAGCAGGCCTCAGATCAGCCTCTGTCACCTCAGCTGAGAGCCAACGTTAACCTTAAAAGTCCTATGTTGTACATTTACACTTCAGGGACCACAGGTAATCCTAATAATCTGAAGTGACCTGTAATTTGCACCTATATGTCTTGTTTGTAGTGGCCTTGAGCAACAACTGTAAGGTTATAAAAACATAAACCACTGCTTCTGATATCTTTTAGGACTTCCTAAGGCAGCTGTAATTAACCATGGGAAAGTGTGGAGGGCAAGTTTCCTTCAATACATGATTGGCGTGCAATCCAGCGATGTTATTTACTTGTACCTTCCTCTTTACCACACGGCTGGCTTTCTGATGGGATTTTCCGGAGCCATAGAAAGAGGTAATGCACAAACACAACTTTATGATTCTTGCTGATGATAAAATCAAGTTTATTACCAACTAAACCAAAGAGTAACTGACCTCAAACAAAAGGCAGTTTAGCTCTGGTTTTCGCTGTTTGACTTTCAAAGTCACAAAGTTCAGTCTAATAGGTCAAAAGCCCTGACTGAGGTCTCGATGTGATGGACTCTGAAACATGTCTGTATCTCTGTTTTCAGGACTCACCATTGTTTTGAGACGTAAATTCTCAGTTTCCAACTTCTGGGCTGACTGTAGGAAGGACAACGTGACAGTCATTCAGTACATAGGAGAGATCATGCGTTACCTCTGCAACACACCAAAGGTAAAATATATCACCATCACATTATTATACCGAATCAGAAAAATGGAATGGCCTTGCCCATATTTATTATCGAATTTTACTCATTATGAGATGTTTGAATTTTTGTCTCATCAGCTTAATAACTGAAGAAACTTTTGCATTTCAGGCTTGCAACACATTCAAAAGACAATGAGAAGTAAAGATTTGATCGCTTGATATTGGCCTAATTCTTTCCCTTAACTATTAAATGCTATTCTAAGACCAAGAACACAATCCATCCATCCATCCATCCATTGTCTGAACCCGCTTTGTCCACATAGGGAGGTGGGGGGGTGGGGTCGGGGGGTGGGGGGATGCCTATCTGTAGCGGTCAACGGGCAGTCAGGCAGGGTACACCCTGGACAGAGTGCCAGTCCATCGCAGGGCAACACAGAGACACACAGGACAAACAATCACACACACTCACACCTAAGGACAATTTAGACAGACCAATCAACCTAACAGTCATGTTTTTGGACTGTGGGAGGAAGCCGGAGTACCCGGAGAGAACCAACGCATGCACAGGGAGAACATGCAAACTCCATGCAGAAAGATCCCAGGCTGGGAAGCGAATCCAGGACCTTCTTGCTGCAAAGCAACAGCTCTAACCAATGCACCACTGGGCAGCTGAGAACACAATCAATACATTTAATTTAGTTTCAGTCTTCGTGCATTTTCCTAGTTCCTATAGCTTTCTCAGCCAAGCCTTTGAAACAAGTGCAGAACAGGGAACTAGTTCAACTTGTTCTTTTGCCCTCTTTGCAACACCGTCAGCCCTGGTCCTATAGGCCCACCATCTTGCATGAATTAGCTGGTGACTAATTAGCTGTTTGCAGAACTGCAGGACCTGCGGAGAGTCCATTCAGTCACTGCATTAGATGTGTTTGAGCAGGAAAGCAAACAAAACAAGTATGGAAGTATGTGTGATCAATAGTAGGTAAGTCTCTGTCCTTGAGGTAAGTCAAGATAAGAGTTGAGTTGTCAAGTTGTTAAGGTTAGGTGTCAGATTAAAGGTTATGAGAAAGGGCTGGAGATTTGTCAATTCAATTCAATAATACTTTATTAATCCCAGAGGGAAATTAGAGTTTCAGTACACACAGTTCTGAGATCAGACTTACATACATACATACATGACAAGAATTGGTGACTGTGGTCATTCGCAACCCGAGTCGAGCTACAGTAATAGATCAAGAGGGTTTATATGAGGATAGAGTCGGGGGGAGGGAATAAAGGCACTTCAGAGTTACTCTCACCCGAGAGGGTAGCTTTGCTATGCAAAAAAAAAAAAAAAAAAACACCTCAGACAGATATGCACACACTTCAGACATTACACAACATAAGTGTCCACTAAAGCCGGGCGTACACTGTGCGACTTTTTCCACTCGTAGCACTCAGCTTCAGCTCAAACTGTACGACTTCCTCGCAGAGCAGATCTCACGAGTCATGTGCTCACACTTCATGACCCAGTTATTGGATGCGACCTGACTGCTCACACTGTACGTCTGGTAGCAACACGTCGGCCCTAAAAATATGCTAAAAATAGCAGTTTTTACACAACACGTTAGACTTTTTTGTCTTGTTTTGCCTGTTGTCCTTCGGGAGTGCTGCAGGAGGACACACAGGGATTTATGGGGGTTGGATGAGTAAAACGAAATAAAGAAAGTAAATCTGTGTTTTGTGATCAGTTTAATTTGACATGAACACGACAAACACGCTTTCTTGACAATCCTTGTGAGTAAAAAAAAACGTGTAGAAACAAAAACGAACGTGTGTTATTAGGGAAATAGCGGGGAGCGGTGTTGATGCAGGATTGCGCATGCGCCGTGAGTGGTTCTGATACATTTTGGGTCGCAGCTGCTCGCAGCGCTGCTTCAACAGTGCGATACCCTCACGAGGGGTGAGCAAAATATTAAACACGCCAGAAGTCCGTACGAGCTCACGACTGCTGATCGGCAGCTGGTCACGTGGTGTTAATCGCCTCTCGTAACCCCCTGTACACTACACGACCGCTCGGCGCAAAACTCGCCCCGATGTCGAGGATTCTCGCACGACTGGAAAATCGGCTCAAAAAAGTGAAAAAGTCGCACAGTGTACGCCCGGCTTAAGTGGAGAGGTAGGGTTGGGACTCTCCTCACTTCAGTGCATGCAGTCGCATGGTGCAGCGCTCATCACCTCCATTTGGACAGGGGAGGGAGATAATGGGATAGAGAGCACAGTGACTCCTAGATACGGTTCCACGGCCTTCACCGGCCACAGTCCCGCTCAGGCTGGGAGAGGGAGAAACAGTTGCCTAGCAACGGCAGCATTCCACATTTCTTCTGAGGGGGGAGTTTTTACTTCAGCCTTATAGGCTCAAGGGCACCAGATTCAGAAAAGGATTGTTTTGGGGACAGACAGAGATAATTTCCTCTCTGCCTTAGAGTTCTGTTGGTCATCAACCCCTCTAGATCCATTAAATAAACATTCTTCTTCCCTCAAACTGCAGCACATGGTAATGATACCAAAGTGTACTGGAGGAGACTATGAAGAGACTTTTGGCAGACTCCTTTTGTTCCTAACCACAATTTTGTACGTGTGGCGACCAAACCTCCCTAAGAACGTTGCATAGGTCATGTCCATATTCAGTCCACCGGTCCAAGACCAATTCTGGACTTCTGTAGGATGTGCAAACTAGGTCGACTATTTAGAACCCTCTTGGACATCAGTTATGACATGACACTTTTGGACCTTGGGTTGGGTAACTTTTTTTGGACACCATAGGCACATCTAACACAGGTGCAGGAATCATGTTGAAAACATGATCCCTGCACAAAGACACGTTGCAATGATGTAATTTTAAAGGTAAAATCCTAACCCTACAAATGATGTTTTGATGTTTCTGGGTGACGCAAAAAGACATCATCTGGCATCACAGTCTGCAACTTCTGGAGACAAAAACTGGATGTGCAGAAATGACCTGGAAACGATGTCGCTTTTAAAACCCAGGCGTCTAGGGGACCTGGGGCAACATCAAGGACTTGTGACAAAATTGATAAAAGTTTATAAAGGTTTTTAATTTATTTTCTTGTTGTTTAATTTTTCAAAAGAAATGAACATAAGTGGCTCTAGGCCTAGCAAAAACCAAATTTAAATGAGAGCTCTAAATCACTGAACACTGAAAAACCACAAGTGATCTTAATCACACCAGAGTCTCTTATATATGTCGACTAATAGCAGCATCAATCACAGTCCAAGTCCAAATGGGAGACAACAGGTCAGAGGAAAGAGCTCTGAATGTTGCTCCACCAGGATGTGCTCCAGAAGGTCTTCTTCTTCTTCAATGGGAGACACGGCAGGCTAGACACCTTCAAGGGGTATTGCTGCCCCAGCAATGATGGCCAATTGCCCAAGATTCACACAAAGATCTTGTGTGGCACCTCCCGTACATGCCAACCTTTCGAAGAAAAGCCAAAAGCACCCCCTCTACACGTCGATCTTCCAACCCCAACAAAGAACGCAGGTCAAACACAGTCACACCAACAGTCCCCAGAAAACCAAACAGGGCCTGCCACTCAACCACACACAGACGACAGTGCAGAAGGACATGAGCAACCGTTTCCCACTCCCCGCAAGCACAACAACCATCTGGATATCGACCCACCAAAAACAAACCTCCCTAAGCGTGTCAAAACCTCAGAATCCCTCCTCCCACACTCAATGGCTGGCCCACGGGCACCTACATGACGCCACAGCCTGTAGTACGTCCGCCCAGCCATCCCTGCATCCCAGGAGGACTGCCACATGTTTAGAGCCACTCAACCAATCTCAGAGAGACACTCCAGTAGACCCAACCTCACACTCAAGTCCACGTTCTGATGCCGCGGCGCACCCTTCACAGCAGTGTCTGCCTCCTCGTTACCCACCCCTACATGAGCAGGTACCCACACAAAGCTCACCATACACCCCAATACCACCAACCTATGCAGCTGCATCTGTATCACCGCCAACAGTTCAGGCCTAGACCAGGAACACTGCCCCTTCATCGCCAAAAAGCGGCCGCAGAATCTGAGCACACGACAGAGTGGGACCTGCAACTGAGCCTCAATCCACTGCAGGGCCACCAAATCGCCACCAACTCCGCAGAGAACACAGCGCACCTATCCCCTATCCTCGACCACATCAATACCCCAAAGCAGGCACAGCCAGCCCCACTGCCACCCTGCCCTCCGTCACCAGAAGGTATTTTATGCTTGGAGCCTTTTATCAGCCACTGATTCTGATTCCCCTCAGCTGGGCGCTTCAGGGCTGAGCCAGGAGGAGAGTGGCGCTGCAGAGTTGCTCCTCTTTGCACAGGAGAGGATGAAAACAGAAGAAATGAAACGCAAAGTAAAACAAATGGCTCCGTCCGTAACAGTCACTGCAACGTGTCTTTGCACAGTGGGAAGCTGCAAACGAAAAACTTAGCTAAACATTGATTGTACCTGGATCTGTACAGAAAGAGTATGATGCAAGACGTGCTGAATCATACAACAGCAAACCAAGTAAGGAGATTAAACCATGTTTATTTAATAAGGACAACTAAAGGTGTACAAAGGAGGCGAGGGAGAACAAAACTCCAGGCAGGGTTGCTTTTGTGTTGACTGGAGACAAGAGGGAGGGGTGTCCGGTTCTGAGAGAGAGTAGCAAGACACAGGTACCAAAGATCCAGGTGGGAGAGCGGGTCAGTCTGAGGGGGGGAAATGAGAGATGGCCTGAGGTGATGTCCAGGACTGTTATTGAAGCGGTAGAGTTATGGAGAGTCGAGTACCTGGAGCAGTACAGAGAACAAGAGTCAAAAAACATAAAATCCAAACTAAGAAACTAGAGACTAGAGACAAAACTAAAGACGAGTCACTGTTAAGCCCTTTTCAGACAGACATTCTGGAACATTTGTGGACAATTCAATCCGGTTTTTAACCGGAACTGTGTTTTCAGACACACCACTTTTGTACCGGAACTTGTCCTTTCGGCTGCGTTCACACAGCAGGGAAAAGTTCCAGATGTCTGACGGCGGCGGGGGGGGGGGGGGGGGGGGGGGGTGGGAGGGGGATCGGACTCATGTTAAGAAGAAGAAGAAAATATCATTTCTATAGCGCCTCTCAAGATAAAAATCACGAGGCGCTTAAGCATAATTCTGCGCACACGAAGACGAAGAGACCTGGATGATGAAGCTCAATGGTTAAAGGAATCACTGAAGCGGTGTGAAGCGCTCCGTCGCGCGTCTAGACGGTACCGTAGGAGGCGAGCTGCCGTGGGTCGCCGCATGCTACAGCAGTGGGCTATATAGGTGTGCACAGCATCCCCCGGTCCCCTCCTCCTCCCCCTCCCTCTTGTCCGGAACTTTACCTCACCAGTCTGAAGCAGTCACCCTGTCCGTAACAAGTCCGGACCTGTTACTAGGGGCTTCGTCCGGATAAATTCCGGAACACTTTATCCGGATGTTTGTATTCAGACAGAAAGGTCTTACGGACAGATTCCGGAACATTTCCGTTTTTCATGGCCTGTCTGAAGGGGGCTCTAGTGTCAAGTGGTATTACTCGACCATTGATGGAATTGCAGCTGTCCCGCTCTCTGGCTCCACTCACCTGCAGATCAACTCAGAAGCAGTTACACAGGAGAGAGGCACACCTCAGAGTGTGACAAAGACATTTTATATATAATATATATATATATATATATATATATATATATATATATATATATATATATATATATATATATATATATATATATATGTGTGTGTGTGTGTGTGAAGGTGCAAAGAATTCACCAAACACCTTGAAGGCAACAAGTGTTGCCTGTTTCTTCATCTATCTCAGAAAGAGTAAACTTTTGCCAAGAGTGCTGATGAACTCAAAACAACAAATTTAGTATGTTAACCTTTGTTTCATGTTTCCACTGTTTGATGGGTGATCGCTGAAATCCTCTGGCTTAAAAAGGTTTCCACCTCCAATGGACAAGCTAAAAAAAAGATCTTGTTTTTATTTCTGTTTCAGTAGCTTAAGTTCTGATGTTTTACTGTTGTGCTTAATGAATAATTTTCAAAGTAATCCCTTTGAAATAAATTAGCTGATGAACGAGTTAATTTCAGGGGTTGTTTTTGGTCATTTCCTTGCTGTTTGCTTTCAAAAACCAGAATTTTCTGAGTTTAATAAAATACACCATGTAGAGAAAACATGTAAATCCATTTAAGTATTTTTTTTCTTTTTTTTTCTAATTTCTTTTTTTAATTTGCCCCAATGTCAGCATACAATATGAATAGATTGCACTATATCCAGATTTTAAAAGTCGAAGTTATTGTGTATTATTGTTTATACCAGGGAGCCATTTTCAGACAGCATGCTGTTTCATACCATCTATACACAGATGACTGTAGAATCTATTTTTCACTTAAACCCACTGACTCCACTAAACCTCTGTTTGATTGTCTTCATGATGTCAAGCAATGGCTGGCTGATAACTTCCTCCATCTGAATGACTCTAAAACAGAGGTAATCGTTTTTAGTCCTGACAATGTTAGAGCAACCCAGCAACCTGACCTCCACTATCTGTCTCCTAATGTTACTTCTGCTATTTCCAACCTTGGAATAAAAATAGACCCGGTTCTGAAGATGGATGCTCAGGTCCATAGCACAGTCAGGTCCTGTTTTTACCACCTCAGGCGAATTTCTAAATTAAAATCCATCTCGAGTGTCCGTCATCTACAATCTGTGATTCACGCCTTCATCCCTTCTCGGCTTGATTACTCCAACTCCTGCTTGTATGGCATCAGTAAAGACACTCTGTCTATACTTCAGCTTGTCCAGAATTCAGTAGCAAGGTTCCTGACTGGAGCTGACAGAAGACAGCACATTACACCGCTCTTAAATCACTCCACCGGTTGCCCGTTCAGTTCAGAATCAATTTCAAAATTCTGCTTCTTGCATTCAAATTTTTGAACAGTCAGGCATCTCCCTATCTGTGTGAACTCCTTCATTACTACCACCCTCCTCGTGCTCTTAGGTCTGAAGATCAGCTCCTCCTAACTGTCCCTAAGGCACGTTTGAAGACCCGCGGGGAAAGGGCTTTTTCTGTCTGTGCCACAAAATTGTGGAGCTCATTACCTCTTCGGGTTAGGCAAGCACCCTCTATTGCTGTTTTTAAATCACGCCTGAAAACACACTACTTCTCCCTGGCCTTCAACACCCAAACCATAAAGCATTAACTCATTCTTAGTGTTTCCACCTTGTTTGTTCAATTTTAAATTTGTGTTTTTATATTCTGGTTTTACTTGTTCTATTGGTTTTAGTTTGTTGTTCTTTTAACTCTTTTATCTTTTTTTACTTCATATGATATACACAACTATTTTAGCTTGTGTTTTTTAGTTATTTGTTTTTATGTGCAGCGCTTTGGTCGGTTGTAATGCCGCGTTAAAAGCGCTCTACAAATAAAGTGGCATGGTATGTTATGCTAGATGCTAATTTGTGTTTGTTTCACCAGCCCAGTGATGAATGTCACAAACATTATGAATAATTAGTTGAAGTTTGTTTGTAATTTTTCCTTCTTTTAACATTTTCCTAGCGGGACAATGACAAGGACCATAAAGTACGTTTGGCTTTTGGGAACGGGATAAGAGGGGACACCTGGAACGACTTCCTGGATCGATTTGGGAACATTCGTATCTGTGAATGCTATGGAGCGACTGAATCAAACATCGGCTTTGTCAACTATGTTGGGAAAGTTGGAGCTATTGGGAAAGAGCACTTCCTCCACAAAGTGAGACAGAGTCAATACGTTTTTATCTAGTCACTTGTCATGTCAGATTCATTTCCATCATTGCAAATTACACTTAGTAGCATGCAGGTCTCTCATCAGTGATTAAATCTTTTCTATTTGTGTTACCGTTCATTTTTTCCCCCAGAGGAGTTATCCATATGCCCTAATTAGATATGACACAGAGAAAGAGGAGCCTGTCAGAGACGCCAGGGGATTTTGTATTGAAGTCCCAGAAGGTAAACAGTTTACCTCTGGTCCTGTCCTCCTCTATCCAATACGGTGCATAACTTTTTGAATTTGCAGGAGAAACTGGTTTGCTGGTGTCAAAGATTGGAGAACAAACACCTTTCAGTGGGTATGCCAAAAACAAACAGCAGACAGAGAAGAAGAAGCTGAAAGACGTTTTTGTGAAAGGAGACCTCTACTTTAATAGTGGTGACCTTTTGAGGATAAACGAGGGTTTTGTCTACTTTCAGGACCGCATTGGAGACACTTTCAGGTCAGTGGATGACGCAGACTGAAGGAATGTGACAAGCTGGGCAATTAATCAAAGAACACATTTATCCATTATTGGCTTCTATGTTGACTTTTTGTAGTTTAATTTCTTTTTTATTATTATTAAATCAGATTTAAACTGAGAACGTTTAGAAACTAATTCAGATCTAGTTTTAATTTCCTATGTATAAATATGTAATAATTCCACTTTTAAAACTTATGTTTCTGATCTACTTTGACTCAAAAACAACATGATTACAGGATCAGATCCCCACTGGGTAACTCTTTATTCAGAGATTTTTTTAATGGGTCATTTATTATTAAAACACTTTTGTTCAGCAGGATGGTTTTGTGCCTGTGTTCACTCTGATTAGCCCAAACATTACTGGCTAATACAGTACGGTAAAAATCTGAGCTTTTTAGGCTGCAGAACAAATTCTATCATCTGTAGTTTTGAATTTATTTTTTTTTATTAGTGATTTATCTGTGAGTCACAAGACTGACATAGAAACACTTTTTGTGACTAAAAGTATTAACTGATCCCATTGAGACTAGTTAGTTAATCTGACCTTTCATCAAGTGTGTGCAGGTGATGTCTGCATGTTCTGTTCTCTAATGCAGGTGGAAAGGGGAAAACGTGGCAACCACAGAAGTAGCTGATCATCTTCTGGCTGTGGATTTTGTTGAAGAGGCTAACGTTTATGGGGTGAAGGTTCCAGGTAAATAAAATGGTCATCCATTCATTCATTTTTCCTGTGCAGAGGGTAGCCATTGCTACAGAGGAGGGGGGCACCTATCACAGGACCAAATGAGGGCATCTTTACAAATGATTTACCAGTATCCTCGTGTTACATTCACTAAATTCAAAGTGCCATACGTAGGATTTTCTTAATAAATCATTCATCAAAACTCTTTTTAAATAAAAACAAAAGCACGTTATACAGTGAAGTTTGTCTTTATTTTGTGGATGTTTAGGGCACGAAGGGAGAATTGGAATGGCGGCCCTGAAGCTGAAAGAAAACATGGATTTTGAAGCTAAATCTATTTATGACCATGTTAAATACTTCCTGCCCAGTTATGCAAGGCCACGCTTCATTCGTCTCCAGGTAAAGTAAAATACCTTCGAGAACTAAAACTCTGAAAGCATGTAGGAATGTCACACGAAGTTGTTTCGTTTTGTGGAATAGGACTCCGTAGCTGTGACTGGAACTTTTAAGCAGCTGAAAGTGAAGCTGGCTGAGGAGGGCTTCAACCCAAACATCATCAAGGATCCTTTATTCTTCCTGGATGACAGTAAAGGCTACATACCAATGACCAAGGAGATATTTGACTCCATCTTGGAGGGAACACTCAAGCTCTGATTAATTTCTGGCTCTGATTGTCAAATTGTGTTTTTAATTCTTTAAACGACACACAGTGCAGAATAACCACAAATGACTTGTACACTGAACAGATACAGCACACTGCCCGAGAGGGGAACATTTCACACAATAATGATTATTTTTCAACAATTCAAACCATACGTTAAATCAATCCACTCTTATTTAGTGATCACCAGTTAATCAGAAATGGTTTGTGCAGATTCAGAAAAGCCCAGACAAAAGCTGTTACAGGAGTTGAGCTGTGGTGCTGGTTTCCAGTGGAGGGGTAGAGGGAGCTTTACTGGCTGAAGGAGAAGCAGGTATGCAGTTCATCCACCTGCAGCTGGAGTACAAGTGTTTCTGAGGTCCCTGTGAAACCTTCAGAGGGCAGCACAGCTGGTGCCGGCCACACTGGACCCACTGGTTGCAGAAACTGGGCACGCTGTAGAACTTTGTTAACTTTCTTAGGTCCTGTGTGCCCAGAAGAGTGGGACTGGAATGCACTTTGTTCATGTTTAACACTGACCCAGGTTCTGTTGGGCCACCTGTAGCTTCTTTTACACTGGGTCTTATTTCACAGTCGTGGCCAAACAGTGGGCCGACGCAGGTGTGAGATAGAGGCTCGCTGCTGCAGCTAAGGGAGCGCATCTGTCTTCTTGGTCGATTCCAATCTTTGTCAATCCATAGCTCCACTTGAGCTTTCTCCAGCTGGGTGACCACATCGTCCTTCTCCTCAGAAGTGTCGTCTGAATTAGGGTCTTCATTCTCCTCCTTTCCTTTCACCCTGTCCTCACCTAGTCCTGGCGGGTTATTCGAAGCCTGCATCTCAGCAAGAAGAGCTGAAGCTGTTTTAGAAATGACTTCCCAGTCCTTCAGAATGTCATCCGCAGTCGTGAACTGGGAAGTCACTGAATATCTGATGATGCGTTTTCTGTGGATTTCTGCAAGAATCAGGTACATGGTCCCAGAATGGGTCAATCTTCTCAGCAGCTCCTCGGTAAAACTGTTTCCTGCCTATATTTAAAAAAAAACAAAAACAAACAAAAAAAAACAGGATGATTTGTAATGGCAGCAAAGTGAATTTTCTGCTGCACCGTGTCAGGGTTTAGCCTGTAAACATTTACTAGTATTGCTCTATCTTTCCCCTTAAGCCACAATAAGCTAACTCATCTTTGAACGAGGTGTGCCAGTTGGTATTAGTTCATCTCAGTAATAATTAACCACTTGGAGAAATGCTGCTTCATGCAAAGAGCTTAACATCTTGATACTTTACTGCCTTTAGTTTAAAGTCTTGCTTTTTACTTTCAGACAAAAGACCACCAGTCCAAGGTGCCTCTCAGCAGGAACCTCAAAATTTGGGTCACTCCTTATGTGAGATTCCAAGAGGTTTGCCATCTCAATCCCCTAAAATAAGACAAGGAAATCAACAAGTTATAAGAGTTTAGCATGTTGCCACTTTAACAAAATAGGAGTCTCATTCCACTTGCATGTCTGATGTGAGCCTGCAGGTTCGTCAGCCCAAACGAGCGCAGGACAAACCATAGCTTCAGAGATCGAAACCGCCGGCTGAGAGGAATTTGCCAGTGCTGGACATGAGGGGGTAAAAAAGTAGTTTTATTAGTTTGAGTGGCTCTCTTAGTCCTAAAATTTAGATTCTGGTTAAGAAAGAACATAGTATAATACCATGAAGTCTGTGGTTGCTTTTGAGTTTTCATGTCTGAGGTAAACAGGGTCAACACTGAAGGTCTGCTGCAGCTTAAATTTGTCTTTTACCCTAAGAAAAAAAACGTTTCTATTCAAATTTGTTTTTTATGAAGCTGAGGACAAAGTTGAAACTCACCAGAAAGCTGCGCAGTCAGAGTGAACCATCATCCACTTTGAAGAGTTAAAAACAAAGGATTGTGCAAATTCAATGCCCTGCAGGGACCAGCGTAGTTCAGGGCATAAGTAGGCTGAGCCGGCGTACGCAGCGTCGACGTGGAGCCAGAGGCCCTCTTCTTCACCTGCACAAAGGATCAAATGCTTTACTTGTTGCGCATGCACTAGTTTGACAATTAGTGAAGGTTTCTTCTAAGTAAAAGTGTAAAGACGCACAGACTGGTCCCAGTTCAGACAGCTTGTCGAATGCACACACGCCTGTTGTTCCCAGAGTCGCACACAGCTGACCAGGAGAGAAACAAATTGCATCTTGTGATTTTTCTTTAACATATACACTCTGGTCTTTCATTATAGCTGATCAGTGGCCATGGCTAATTATTTTAGTCATATAAAATGTAAATAACACAAGGATAGAGGTAACTGAAGAAGAATAATAGTTTAAACATTTAAAAATGAAATGCTAAACCATTTTTCATGAATGAAATGTTTAAACTTAAAACCAAGTTTCTTTAAAACAACAAGTCTAAGATAACAGAGTAAAACATTATGATGAGGAGGCCAACGTCCACATGTGAGGTGCAGAATCTCAGAAGGAAAATGTTGTTTTCTGACAAATGAAATAGTTTGCATGTTTCTTTAGGTTTTGATGTCGATATTTTCTACCAAATGACTAAGATTTATTCTTTAAACGTGTATTTTTCACCGTTTGTTGACAAATGAAAATTTGGAACATCATCTCAATCAAATCCTTTTCCTTTTTGATTAATTTTAATAAAACACTAATAAATAAACGTTTTCTCCTGTTATATATGTATGATAAAGCCAGAAAATGAGTTTCATATCTTATGAAATCTCAGAGTTAAACACCAGATCACTGGGAAGACAGTACAGACGACGTGAAAAGTCCCTCGTGTTAAAATCTTCGCTGTGTTTTTGAACGCATCCACAAAAAATAATATAAATCAAGTTCTGCTTGCATTTGTGTTGCAGGAGCTAACCTAAAGGAAAGCTACTAGTTAATGAAAACGTAATTGTGAAACACTGTGTGACAGTTTGAGTGTCAAATACACACCATAAAAGGGACAAGGCCCCTCCCCCTGTCCTCTTCAATGGCCTGTTTCAAGGCGTCTCCCCTCAGAGACAGCGTCTCATCAGTGGGCAGAAACCTGATCTTCACCAGAGAGATCAGACCGGCCTTTTCTACCGAGGAATGAGCCTGTGAGAGACGTTACTCATTAAACCCAAGTGCAGTCAATAAACCTAACAGCAGAGTAAGTTAACGAACACTCGACCTGATCAGAGGCGTAGCCTATCAGTCTGGAATTGAGAACTGAGTCGTCAATGTCCTGATCCAGTTCGGATCGCAGCTGCAGGATTTTGTCTTTCCTGGCTGCTAGGAGAGCGACCAGTGTGCTCTCACTGACTGTGCTCTAAATGGGGTCAGGTCAGAAAGAGCTTTGTTGGCTGAGACTACTATGAATGATTAATGGTAAATAATGTTCTCACAAACCTGCAGCAAACCTCCGCCTCGGCTGTGCGGATGGCGATGCATGAAGAAACAGGGGAGACCCAGTGCTTTACACAACCAGTCCATCACATTCATTTCCAGTTCTGTGCAGGCTGGGCTGGATGCCTGATAGAAACCAAAGCACAGAATGAAGCGTGGTGGTTCTCTTCTGCTGTTGTGTTTTAACCCTAACCCACTTACCCAAGTAAATCCTAGACAGTTGATGGCATTGGCCAGCATGTCCCCCAGCATGGAGGGCCATGAAGTCAGACAGGGGAAGTAGGCGTGCATGTGAGGGCTCTGCCAGTGAACAACCTGGACAACAACCAAAGCCGTTCCTTACGTTCATTATAATGAAGACAAACAGCATAAATAAATGTAATTATTGTTTGTTGGGTGTATGATGGGTGTCAGTCAGCACTCACTCCTGGCATGATGACTCTCTCAATGTCGTTGAAGATATTCTCCCAGTCCTCCGGTTCTGTAGGTGCAGCGTCAGGAAGAAGTTCTGTCATGTAACCCGGTTTCACATCTGGAATAACCCTCCTCTCCCTGATGGAGTTCAGGTAACGAGTGATGTAGTCCACCATCTCCTTTCCTGATCAGTAACAGACACTCACTTTAGCAGCGTTCCCATCTTTTGTTTTCTGTGAAATCTAGCATAATGAATGATAAAAGGATCCTGTGATTACCTCTGCGGTTGAACTCCTCAGCTTGCATTTTCAGAGATGAGACCTCTTTGACTGAGCTGTGCAACAAGTGGCTGCAGGACAGTGTTCAGCATCGAAGATCACAGAACTGTATTTATAGGAAGCTTTTGGTAAGAGACACGCCTCAAATTAGTGACGCATCTCAACTAGTAAAAGTCGTTCGTGTATTTTCCCCAGATATTCACCAAATATTTATCCCCATCCCAATCATTGTAGCTCAAATTTTGTGAAATAACATTTTGAGTGCCTCGTTTTAACAGTTAAACTACGTGATGTCGGATAATTTCTCTATTTCTTTCTTTATTTATCTAATCTAGGACATGGTTCAGATCATGTCTCTATTATTTATCTGTACACAAATTTGTCATGGTCTGCATCTGCGTCTTTCCCCATGTGTCTCCTAATGTTTCTCCATCCCTCTCTAGATTCCCTTTTGTGTTCTCTAAGCGCCCTCATGTGTCCTTTGTCTGCATCTCTGTTATGTGTCTTAAGTTGTAGCCCTTTAAAATAATTCCTCCCAGGTCTTGTGTCATCCAGTCATCCTCAGCCCCTCTAGTTGTAGCTCCAGCCTCTTGTTCCTCAGCTCAATATATGTGTGTGTGAGTTTATGTGTGAGTTTATGTGTGTGTCAGTGTGTGTGTGTGTGTGTGTGTGTGTGTGTGTGTGTGTGTGTGTGTGTGTGTGTGTGTGTGTGTGTGTGTGTGTGTGTGTGTGTGTGTGTGTGTGTGTGTGTTTGTTTGTCCTTCCCAGTCAGGTCTGGTGTCCTGCTCTGCTCCTCTCCTCATTAGTGATTTCACCTGTGCCAGTTCTCCACACACCTGCTCCTCGTCTCCTATCACTCCAGCCCCGGTGTATAAAGCCTCTCCTTGTCTCATTGTTCTTGTCGGTCCATTGTTGTTTGTCAGCGTTGTTTTGTGTTAATGTTGGTCTGTCCTCCCCAGAGTTTTGCCCGTGTCCGTGCTCAGTTTTTGAGCTTCTGTTTTTGTATTTTTTGATCTCCTGATCAGTCCCTGGGATTTTGGACTTTGGCTTCCTGCCCTTTGGATTTATGTTTTTTTAGAATCCTCCTACAAGTAAAAGGATTTTTTCTTTACATCTACTCCTGCCTCGTGTCATCCTGGTTTCTGCATTTTGGGTCCAAACCCTCCTCTCAACGTGACAAAAGTACGCTGGAGTGTTTGTTCTTACCCAATTAGACTAGATACAGTGACACCACGATTATCACATCTTGTTCGTTCAGGATAAGATTCGTGACACACAGCAATCTTGACACATTTCCACGTGCCGATCCACAACTATTTAAGATTGTCAGCCAAGGCTCAGTTACTCTTTGACTAGAATTCAGAGAGGCCAGATTTGTTTCCTGTATCATTTTCCTGTTTTTCTATAGAAATCAACTTCAATTTAAAGCTACTGATTGTCTTTTTTCCATCTTATTTACTTATCAAGGTAAAAGCTATAAGATTTGAGTGTTTTCTCCGTACATCCTTCCCCTGGGGATATAAGGGCCGGACCGGGGGTTCTCCTGGACTGCAACCAGCAACGGACTGGACCCTGCGGATCCAAAACCAGCATCAGTGATATACATAAATTATATTTGCATAAACTATTAAATAGGAGGTTTGTAGTTTGTAAATGCCAGAGGTGAGATGAGATCACCTTCGGAAACTCAACAGGCTGATGAAATGGTAAAGAAAGCATAAAAAAATGCACTCTTCGTTGTGGTTAAAGATTATGCACCAACTGTAAGATTATGGATGAAATGACGGTTTTACTGAACAAGTTAATCAAACCATTAGAAATAAACCCAGAAAAGTGACGACTGAAACAGGGAAGAATTTGTTTAAATTCACTACATTTGTACATAACAGCAGAAGGCATTTCTCTATTTGAAGTTTTGTCTGGAAGACCTACTGTTGCTCCAGATTTTAGACACACGCCTGCAACTGAGGCTGAAGACAAACTTGCTGAATGATGCAAAGACAGACTGCTCTGCTCATATTTGTATGGCCTATTTTCAGAACCAGGGTGTGAACTGCAGCCCGGTCGCCAGATGTTTCGGAGGAAAAACGAACTGATGTAACAATCATAGTCCCAGTCACTTGATGGCAGTCTTGTATCCTAGTGCATTCTATTGTTCCTGAGGTTATGGGGACAAATCCCCAGAAAGACGAGACATGCCTGTAAGGACATCACATCCATGCTCATCTTCCTGTGGTCCTGTCATAGCCTCTTACCAAATTTACATCATCTCTGCATCTCCTCATCCTCATCATATTGAGTAAAAGATAAACACATTAAAAGGTAGAGTTATTGTGAAGATAAACCCATCAATGTCACAACTTGTTATGGCCTTTAACCTGGGACAAAGACTTGAGCAGCACCTGGACTGTGCTGTTTACTGACCTTGTTGTACGATCCCTCTCCTATCAGTGTTGTATTAATGGAACCATGCGAACGCTGAACAATTCTTTACAACTAAAAGGTTTCAGGAGAGTGTTTTTGACTATATTTTCTCAGCATATTTCCATTAATCTTTAGGAAAAGTGCAACTTTAATCATTATGTTCTGTGCTCATAAATCATTGAGGTTTAATTTACTTATCACTTCAAACAAAGTGTTTTGGTAAAGTACCTGCAAGTCATCAGGTGACAAATGAAGTCAACATTTGACTTTATTCTCTGAATTTTATCAGCAAGTCATATCATTACACATTCTAGTGCAATCTGGTTGTCAGAACAGCTGAAAACACAACAAATAACTGGGATCTGAACAGATCTCACACAAAAAGATCCCGCTGAGGTCAGGACACTCGTAGTGTGTGACACTGGTCGTGGCATTTGTGTGGACTCACAAATAAAGGTCATGTGATATGAACCAGAGCACACTGAGGCTATTGTCCCTCCACCCTTTTATGTGGCTTTATGTCTGGGAGTCCAATACTGATGAAAGCAGATTTGATCAAAATTGTGCTATTTCAAACTTGACCACTGCTCTGTGACATCAAAGAAAAAAGTGCTCTACTTTCAACGTTTTTCTGGGTGTTTTATGCAAATAAGCTGATAAAATAAAAGTGACATTGGCTCATCACAAAGAAAGCTTTTATACACACTTGATATGTTCAAACAAATACGTCAAACATAATTGAAAGAGGGAGAACATGACCGCCAAGTTTCATATCAGATAAGACACATGGTGTTATATATAACCAGCCTGAGAATCAGGATGAATAACCATCAGTAGCTTAGACATATTCCATTAGACTGGTAGCTTTTTGGTGGTAGACACAAACTCAATATTATTAGAGTATGAACTACATGTGATCATAAATGAGGTGAGATGAGGTTATGCAAAGACAGAGGGAATAGATATATTTTATAGATACAGTACAGGTTAAAGGTTTGGGCACACCTTCTCATTCAAAATGTTTTCTTTATTTTCATGACCATGACCATTTACAAAGGGGGCAACAAGTGCTAAACACCTCTGGGAACTCCTTCAAGTCTGTTGTCTACTGAGGTGCCTTGATACAGCACTCTGGGAACAGCCTATTCATTCAGAAATTTCCTTCTGTGTCTTACCCTCTTGCTTCACCTTCTGGACAGCAGTCAGGTCGGCAGTCTTACCCATGATTGCGGTTATGAGTAATGAACCAGGTTGGAAGTTTTTAAAAGCCTCAGGAATCTTTTGCAGGTGTTTAGAGTTAATTAGTTGATTTAGATTATTAGGTTAATAGCTCGTATAGAGAACCTTTTCATGATATGTTAATTTTTTGAGATAGGAATTTTGGGTTTTCATGAGCTGTATGCCAAAATCATCAATATTAGAAACAATAAAAGGCTTGAACTACTTCAGTTGTTTGTAATGAATCTAATATATATGAAAGTCTAATGTTTATCAGTACATTACGGGAAAATAATGAACTTTATCACAATATGCTAATTTTTTGAGAAGTACCTGTACATACATACATACATACATACATACTTACATACATCTCACTGAAGGGGTGTATCTTTTAGAGAAGTAGGCTAAAATGTTCTCTTCTAAACTGTTTACCACAGCCTGGCTGTAGTTCCATGTTATTGCCACTGGAGTGCATTAAAGTCCCCCTCAGTGATAAAAGTCCATTAAAAACTGAGTTAGAAGTTCTGTAGCTAATATTTTCTCCACACAACCATTGTGTTTCACATTGACGTAAATAAGGTTTTAATTTAGTTTTAGCTAAATAAACTGCTGGAATGAGTTCTCCTGTTGCTAACTCCAAAATGTCACAGCATTTTATTTTAGAAAGAATTACCAGGAAGTATTTTTACTAAGTAACTATTGGTTTCCTCTTCCTCATCAAGTTCTCCTACATTGTATTATTATTTCCAAGTGGACAGAAACCAAGTTTAGGAATTTTCACCACTTCATTGAGATGAGGAGGGTAAAATGTTATTTTCTCAAATGTTTCCCTATAGTTCCAGCTCGCTCTTGTCAGGCGAATTAAAAACTAACTACCCCGGTAACTTGCTTATTTGTTATTATACTGTTTGACCATAGAAGTCTTTTTAATTTAAGTAGTTATGAAAAAATCTTGATGAAGTGTGTCGAAAGACCCAACTTGATTTAGTTATTAATAGTTTGTGTGTGTGTGTGTGTGTGTGTGTGTGTGTGTGTGTGTGTGTGTGTGTGTGTGTGTGTGTGTGTGTGTGTGTGTGTAATCATATTTATATTGATAAAAAAGGGATAAATCACTGCTTCTTCACCGATTCTAAATTAACATCTTCAGAGATTGTATACTAATGTTGTTATTTGATTCCAAATTTAATGTTCTTCAGAATTGCCCGTCAGAACCTGACTGATAGTCTGTTCCACACAGCCAATGACCTCAGCAGAGCAGAGTCTACTATCAAAATAAATGAATGAACGAAGATACACTTCTAGCTGATCTTCTTATCGAAATCCTATTATCCCCATTCATGTCTGATTACTCCACCACCCCAAATCACAGTTTTTCCTTCTCTGTGGTATTCATTCTCCAGCTGGTGGCGGTAATGAATCTCTGGGCCGGTTTTGTTAACGCGAGCAATTACCACAGACGAAGAAGGCAAAATAAGGAAGTAGAAAAAATCAGCTGTTAAAAAGTAGCTAAAGTAAACATTGGATAAGAATAAGGTAATGTTATTGCTTATTTATTATTTTTAAGCAAATGCCACATACACCCGATTGTTTTGCTTCCGAAATATATACATAAAGTGTGGGGAAATGTCGTAGCTTTAAGTACAGCTAGTAAAACTACTCCCATCTCATAACGCAACATGCTAACGTAGCTGCGGAGCTAACTAGGATAACAACAACACCAAGTTCACGTTTGTTCCTTTAACTGTGTTTATTTTAAACGACTGTGTGGTATATGGTCCACATTGTAAATTTTATGTTCAGTTTTCCACGGACTGTTTATTAATAATATATTTAAGGAAGACGTTTGTGGTTAAGTTTAGCCAGAAAAGAACTTAGTTTTGCCAATTTAGACTAGTTAGCCAGCTAACCACAGCTACACGCTAACTTCAGCTTTCTACGGCGCCGACGATAACGGTAGCGTTTGGTTTAAAATCAACTTCTCATTGTTTATTTCATTCTAACGTGTTTTTATTGGGCTATTCTGAACGTCACACGGTCTTTATACATTAAACTTGCGTTCATAACTCTGACAGGCCTAGCCACACTCCTACCTAGCACTCAGTAGTCTTACACCTGCTTGTCTAATGCAAACTCTTTTATGATATAATTAACGTTTAGGATATACAAAGTAATATCATTTTTATATAGAAAATTATATTTGAAAGTCGCCACAACTGAGATTATTTTAGAGAAACATCGGTTTAAAATCAACAATCTCTGACATAATTCGTTTTAGAGAGAATAATATTTCAATTATCTGCAATGTTGATTTTGAACAGGTGAAGTGTTTCTTTATAAATAACGACTATGCATATTCTAGCTAGTGCAAGATAAATTGGCTGTCAAATTTGCTTATCAACAGGAGCTTAAATGTAAGCTAATGCTGATTTGGAGCTTGAGATTCATCTAATGTCACACAAAAGTTGAGTCTTTTGGTTTGTTTGTTTTGTTTTGTAGAGATGTCCAGAGCTTGTGCAAGGCACTGACTGATGGACTGGTCACCAGTTTGTGAACTCAGAACACATCTGCCAAGATGCCTGCAGTATCTACCGGGGTCAAAGAGTTGTATTTGTCTACATCTCTAGGTGACCTCAACAAAAAAGCTGAAATAAAGCCAGACAAGTCGAGCACCAGAAGGTAACCATTTCTGTTGTGTTTTCTATTGTTAGCCGTGCATTATACCAAGCTGTTGCTGATATTTTTACATGCTCTTACCCTGTTATGTTTATATTGTTGGTTTTAAGTGTCCCTGCTGGTTTTTATCTGTTTTGTTTTTATTGTACAGCACTTTGGTGGCATGTTTCATGCCTGGAAGGTGCTTTATAATTAAAGGTTGATTTGATATGATCTGTGTCATACAAACGGGGTCTATTTATTCATGTTCCTGCAAGAGATTTAGGGTTTGATTAAGCTATATATTTATCACATTGTCTCTTTAAAAAACTAAAGAAAACACTATTTCGGCTCCCCCCCCCCCCCCCCCCCCAACTGTTGTAAAGTAGAAGAATTGAAACAGAGAACGTAGAGTGCTACCAATCACTCATCTAAATCAGTAGTGATTTACCCCTGCTGTGGACTGTGCAAAAGTTTATGAGTGAGTATCATGTGTCAAGATCAATCCACAGCTGATGTGCTCACAATTGATGTCATCATAAAGTGGCATGTGTGCATTTTGGGCCTTTCATAGGACACTTTCAGGATTTAGGCCAACAAATGAAATAAATCGACAGAGATACAATAGGAAGCATCTGAGGTTATGGTCACATGGTGATGGCGTTCTTTTCATCTGTGTTGCAGCTATGTTCAGAGTGCATGCAAACTCTTCAAGGCGGCAGAGGAGTGTCGTCTGGACAGGGATGAGGAGAAAGCTTATGTGTTGTACATGAAGTATTTAACGGTATATGACATCATCAAGAAAAGACCAGACTTCAAGCAGCAACCGGTATGATTAATGATTCTAATTCTTTGTAGGTTTGTCATGGAAATGGGTCATGCTAGCTATGTAGACGCTTTTATTGTTTTTTGAGTAACTCTTTTCTCTCCTGATATCTTTAGGAGTATTACATAACTATGCTTGGACCAACCAGTTTTAAGAAAGCCATTGAAGAAGCTGAAAAGCTGTCTGAAAGCCTTAAACTTAGGTTAGAGTATTTGCTTGTTTAAAGTTGAATGTTATTCTTCTTTGGAATTAACTAATCTTGGTATTTATACAGGTATGAGGAAGTCGAGGTTAGAAAAAAACTAGAGGAGAAGGAGAAATTGGAGGAGAAAAAGAAACGGGAGCAAGTGACAAAGAAAGATGGTGGCCGTGAATCTCCAAAACCTTCATCCATAAACAAGAAGGACTGCAAAAAGGTTTTCAGAAGCAAAAAAAATTGAACTTGCTGCTCTGGGATCTGCTCAAATGTTCAGAGTTTATTAGTACTGCATTCTAATTTATTTCAGTAAAATAAAATCCAGCAATGTAAATGTTGCACGTGTGTTTTAGGTTAAAGGAGAGCAGAATGAACTGAAGAGTGTCATCACAAAAGGTAAACTAAGTTACACAAAGAGGCCTCGGATGTGTGGCTTTTCTGTGAGCTTTTGGAAACAAACTGAAAGCTTTAAAGTTTAGTTTGTTTGTTTTACTGAAGTCTTAGAATTAATTTAGTGACCATGTGTGTTAGCTGCACAGCCAGCAGGTGGGATCACAGCTGAGAAACTTTTCAGCATGATGAAGGACCAGACGATCTCAGTAACTGTCATGGACGCCCGCTGCCACAGAGACTATGAGGAGTCTCACATCCAGGTCCCGGGCCAGACCTGCATTAGTGTGCCTGAGGAAGCCATTACTCCAGGGTGAGCAAAGGACTCGTGTCGGCTTCGTGTCGTTTCCGTTCAACATCCTAAACTCGTATGTGATCATTTTACAGAATCACTGTGAATCTGATTGAGGCAAAAATGCCCGAAGGGTCCACGGATCATTGGAGGCGGCGGGGATTTGTAGACTACGTAATCCTGCTCGACTGGTTTAGTTCAGTCTCTGACCTCAAGCTTGGCACCACCTTACAGAGTTTAAAAGATGCCCTCTTTAAGGTGTGTAAGGGCGTGTTGCCACCGAGTGTGAGAGTAAAGGAAGGTGATTAATATTAATAACTGTGATGCCAAACATTTCACAGTGGGACAGTGTCACCTTACTGCGTAGTGAGCCGCTGGTGCTGGAGGGGGGCTATGAGAACTGGCTGCTGTTTTACCCCATGTACACAACCAACGCTAAAGTTCGACCCCCGAGACAGACCGTTTCCAACAACCTCCCTCAGTGTGAGTATCACCAGCGATGGATGCAGCAGATTTTATTTAACTGGTTCTGAGCTGTGATTAAGGTGATTTAAACATATTTAACCAAATTCATCAAATCAAATGATCTGTGAGAGGGATTATTAGTTTCAGTGTTTCCCCAGTTCTTCTAGCTGGGAGGGGCTGAACGTTTCGCTACCCTGCGTCTTCCGTGGTGGTGGGGTCGTAGATGTGGTGCCACGCCTATGTAGAGGAAACACTGATTAGTCTAAAGCTGAATTTTCATCTCAGTGGTTTACAGTGTCAAGTATCCAACTTGGTGTTTGAGACCACAGGATGAAAATAAGCAAACAGATGAACCAACACTTAGAATCATTCATCTTGAACGCTTTACTGATAAGTTTAGTTATTAAAGAAATGAACGAAGTTCTGCTTTATTTTAAAGGAAAACCTTTATAAGGAAAAGTACTTTTCAACTGTTTTAATCAGTAAACTGAATTCCTGTTAACCTGAGTGGCATTTCTAAACTAGCTCATCTGAACAAAACAGGAATGAAGCATTTAAAAATATCATTACTGCACTATTTAGTGTTTACCGTGTACCCATTTATTTTCTGTGATGTTTTGAACAGTAAACTTTAGCTACCCATCCTTAGAGGAGCCAAAGCTTCCGACTCCAGTTCAACCTGAGCCTGAAGTTTCACCTGAGCCTCCAGAACCATCAGCTCCTGTGCTGGTGAACGGGGTCACTCCTGCTGAGCCTCCAATGTCCAAAACATCCGTGGTTGCTGACAGGTTTCCAGACACAGCTGATGTCTCCATCACAGGCTCTACAAATTCAGGGCTAGACCAAAGTAAGGATTCTGCCTTACACCAGTCACCTGCAGCAGCCAGAGCGTTCCCACAGGTATTTCACCTACCCTGAGATCTTTTTGATCTCCAGAATAGACTTGCATGTCCAGATGTGTGCAAATATGACTCCTGTTGTGTTTTATTCTGTTCTTCTGTTGCAGTTTGACCGTACCAAAAAACCATCTGTCCCGGTGTCAGATCAAACTAAGTCCGGTCAGAACAAACCTGCAAAAGATCCCACTCAGAATGGTCCGGTTGTCCCCGACCGCGCTGTAAAACCGGCCTTTACCCCCAACGCTGCTCTGTCTAAAGATGAACAGAAACAAATCCACACCGAGGCGGTGGCAGTGATGGAGAAGGCCAAACAGGAGCAGGAAAAACGCAACCAGGAGCGCCGCTTAGAGGAGGAGAGGCGAGAAAGGGAGCAGAAGGAGATGAGAGAGAGGCTTGAGAGGGAGGAAAGTGAAAAGAGGAAGAAGGACGATGAAGAAAAGAAACAGGAGAAGAAGAAACTTGAAAGGCAGAAAGCTGAAGAAAAGGAAGATAAAGAGAACAAGGTTTGGGATGAGAGGGAGAGACGAGGAAAAGAAACAAACTCCGACACGCCTTCAAAGAGCATGTCTCTGGATTCACCGCTTCCCAACCACATTGTTAGTGAAATAAAGGTGAGTTCTTTGTGTTATCGCTAGAACACAGCTACGAGTTTGTGGTCCACATACAACCTGTGTGTCTGTGGAACCCACTTTTACATTCTCCATCGATCCACCCAGCCAGGAGCCTGTCGTTTCAATTGTTGAGCTGTTTTAGATCTTTTGTCAGTAAAGATAGTGTGTGCTTGCTCCACAGAGGGAGCCTCTGACCAGAACGAGGAGTGAGGAAATGGGTAGGAGTGTTCCAGGGCTTCCAGTCGGTTGGATGAAGGTGCCACATATTTAAAGCTCAGATATGGGTGAATTGGTGCAGCGAGATTTAAATCTGCATATGAATTGACTCAGAAACTTTCTCTTTCAATAGTTTCTTGACACCGTGACTGGTACCTACAGATACTATCACTCACCAACCAACCGGGTCCACCTTTACCCCCCTGAGGTCACCGTTCCTCAGACGCCACCCTCGACACCGCCAACGGTCAAGCCAAAGCCACAGCCTCCCGCGGAGGTCGACACCAACCACGAACAAGATCGAGAACAGTCCAATCTCAAACGCTCTTACTCCTCCCCAGACATCAGCCAGGACTTGAGAGAGGAGGCCCAGAAGAAGGTCACAGCTCCGATTCCTGCTGCTGTCATACCCAACATCAACAGAGAAACCAAGTAAGGCACACTGATTTCCTCACAATGGGAGTGTTTTCCGTTAGCCTGAGATTATTCACAGCTGGTCAGTTCTGTTTCAGTGCTCAAGTACTGATTAGTTTTATAACTATAACCCTTTATTTCTTCTCTTTCCTCCAGACCTTCTGTCTCTAAGGTTCATTCTAAAGCGGAGATCGTGTGGCCTACTGCGGCTAAAATTCGTAACCTGAATCCTACGTTTGGAGGTTTGGGTGCTTTGCTAACTGGCCTTCGTAACCTTGGCAACACCTGTTACATGAACTCCATTTTACAATGTCTCTGCAACACTCCAAAGATGGCTGAATACTTCAACAACAATTACTACCTCGAGGACATTAACAGGTCAGGTCTCAGATCAGTTCAGTGGTTCCCCGTCTGGCATGAGGAAGCTGTGTAAGCATCCCGGTGTCTTCTCTCTTCCAGGTCCAACATTCTGGGCCATAAAGGGGAGGTTGCAGATGAGTTTGGTGTGATCATGAAGGCCCTGTGGGCCGGACTGTACAAGTGCATCAGTCCACGGGACTTCAAGAGCACCATCAGCAAAATCAATGATCAGTTTGCAGGCTATGACCAGCAGGACTCTCAGGAGCTGCTGCTGTTCCTCATGGATGGGCTCCATGAAGATCTGAACAAGGTAGCACATGTGTGGTTTAATCTTATGATGAAAGGCATTAAGAAAATCACACTCTTTGTCGAAGGTTGAGTAAGTTCCTGAAAAAGCAGTTTGAGCAAACTACTTTTTAATGTAGACAAAAGGTCCGGGCTCTCTTTTCAGGCGTCCCCGCAATGATTTTGTTTTACCTTTTCAGTTTTTTGTTGCCACCTTTCCTGTTATAATTCCTAATGCACCACACACACATAACTATAAAACAGTAAAGTAATATAGTGTGGTATTTCTGTTGTAAAAAATAGAGCAGTGTTTAGCTTTCTGGGTTTATTTTTGACTTCAGAGTCACTGCAGCACAGTGCCGCCAACAATCTGGGAAAACCCTGCAAACAACAGGTCAAAACTTCCAGAACACACCCCAAACCTCCTCAGACTCTCTTTATCTTCTTCTTTCTGACCGCACACACGCGCATGCCTAGCTCTGCCAGCTGACAGAGAACAGCTGCATTCACAGACAACAAGTCCGTCACCTAAAAATTCACAAGAGCAGAACCAGACTAAACAGAAGATGTATAATCAAATTTGCAAACGCAAACTTTAACAGAACAGAACATTTCCTCCATCACACAAGGCTTCACTTCCTGTTCAGCTGTGCTGAGCTGAGAGTGCGCAATTTGTGCACATAGAGGGAAGGGATGGTCAGGATCCAATCATTAAGGATGGGACATTCACAGTGATTGGATGGATTTTTTTCCCTGGCTTGTAAGTATCAGAAGGGATAAAAATGTATCTTTTTTTTTTTTGGGACAAACATTTAATTTATTGGTTTCCACCTGGTGTGAAGAGGCATGAAATGCTCCACAAAAGGATCTCATACTTCAACGTTAACAGTTGTTTAACTACTGAGTTCGTGTGAATCATGACATTCTACTACACTAGTATGCTGCACAGTTACCTTTTAACATTTTCTGTATCGTTTTTCTTTTTTCTGTTTTTTTTTTCCCCACTGGGTTTCATTTTGATTGCAAATTAGAGAGTAAGTAAATAGCTGTGTTGTTCGTCCACCTACAGCAGTGTGAAAGTGCTGTGTCTGCATCTGTCTGGTCTGATGCTCCGTCAGAACCTCTGCATGTAGACCCAAAACATGCTCATTGCCTGCGTCTGATTTATGTTTTTATTTTTTCCTTCTGGTTTTGTGTGCATTTGGACACTGGAAAAGTCAAAATGATTCAGTGAAAAGACAGAATAAGATTATTTTATTTTTATTCTGTTAAAAAGAAATAAGACTTGAGTTACGGTTTCACAGGTCAGGAAGCTACTGTGACAAATGTGTTCCTCTGGAATGAGTTATTGTATGCTTTCAGCTGTTTAATCTTTTTAAATGAGAAGATTTGATTAGCTTGTAACAGCTGGTGAAGTATGTTTCACACCAAATAATCTCCATCTCACCTTGTTCTCCTTTTGTGTGATGTTCAGACTTGTTTGCCGTCAGGCTGGCCCAGTCCAGGTCTCGTAACGTATTTGTACATGGAAATGATTTTTTGTGGGTGGGGTACTAGTTAGAACTAAAATGGTTCCCATGTTTTCATGCCCAACATAATGAAACTGATTAATTGGCATGCTCCTGAAACGTGACACCTTTCATTATGATTACAGCATGCATTTGCCGTCTGTTTCTATCCAGAGTTTCTTTTTTCTCTTTTCTGAAGATAATAGCTTGATAACTGTGTAAATGGTTCTCTATCACATTCCAAATATTCATAAGTGGGTCAGGATCTGGACTCTGGTGGCCAGGTCATGCTGAACCAGTCGTTTTCAAAACTTCTGCCCGTTGAGTTTCAGTACCAACCATCTCACATGATTACTGAAAACAAGAAGCTGCTCACGAGTCGGTCAGGCCTAGCTGAAACCTATTATTCACTGCACAATGTCCTTTAGTTAAATCCAGCTGCTGACATTTTCTTTTGTGCCCAATAAGGATTACACGTTCTCATGTCGTCCTTGTTGTTTCTGCTGTCAGGCTGACAACAGGAAGCGGTACAAGGAGGAGGAAAATGACCACCTGGATGACCAAACTGCAGCTGACCTGGCCTGGAGCAAACACAAGATGCTGAATGAATCCATTATTGTAGCGCTGTTCCAGGGGCAGTTTAAATCCACGGTGCAATGTCTGACCTGCCATCGCAAGTCACGGACGTTTGAGACCTTCATGTACCTGTCGCTGCCTCTGGCCTCTACCAGCAAGTGCTCCCTGCAGGTCAGTCGTGGAAAATGGCCCGTGTCAGGGGTTAGATACGTTCAGTTTCTTCAATCACAGCTTGATTTTAATAGAAGGAAATCAAATAAACACACACACACACACACACACACACACACCTTAGCATGTCTGAGTAGCTGAGTTTTAGACTGTCTTGCCATGCGCATAAACCTAGCTGTGTGTTAGATTTGTAAATGTTGTTGCTTCCTATCAGGATTGTCTGAGGTTATTCTCCAAAGAAGAGAAGCTCACTGACAACAACAAGGTGTTCTGCAGACACTGCAAAGTTCACAGAGATTCCACCAAGAAACTGGAGATCTGGAAGGTTCCCCCCATCCTTCTGGTGCACCTGAAACGGTCTGTAGTCACTGCTGGCATTTTACATGGAGGGGATCCTTTTCACTGGTTGGGTAATACCTAGGGTTGGGCATCGTTTGATTTTGAACGATTCCGACTCTGATTCCAATTCCTCGTTTCGATTCCGGTTCCTATCGATTCCCGATTCCGATTCTTTCAAGACATGACATGCTTTACATGAGCTAGCTAACCACAGGTCCTACTTGATAAAATAATCTTAACTTCAACATGAATTTTAACTCTATGAATAATAGCATCACCTTCATTTAGACAAAAACGTGTTTTGGAGAAAAAAGAAAAAGACTTTCAGCACAACCAGTGTGTTTGTTTCTGACCACAACCAAAGTGTGGAAGAAGCCTCTGGAATGAGAAGCTAAATGTCTCCAACATATCCAGAAACATCCAGCTGTTTTTAGCTAAAACTCTCAGGATGATCATGTCCAGGATGACTGAGAACTACACCTCCATGCTGCAGCAGCATTCAGTCAGAACAGGAAGTGAAACTTGAATGTAGCTGCTGTCAGTAACAATCTAACAGATTTTAAACATTAAAACTCAACAGAAATAGTTCAAAAAAGTC